ATAAATAATAATATTTATTAAAATTCATTAGAAAATAAAATTATTTCTCAATTGATATATTTATAGTTAGTTATATATTGTAAGTTAAAAAAATTAGTATAATATAACACAGGTAAGTCGCACAAATAAAAAGTGTCATAATAAATATATAATAATATATATATTCTCATGAAAGGTATTTAAATTTTCAAACTACTTTTTCTCATTAATTTTAGATTTTAAGAAAAAAAATTAGCAAGCACCGTGTAATACACGGGTGTTGCACTAGTATATTAGTATTTACGTGCAAGTAACATATATGTTACTTATATGTTAACATATATGTTAATCCTATATAATAAGGATTAACATAAATCAAATTTAGAAACAATTTTCCGAAACTTTCATTAATTATCTTTTAAAAATAGTAAATCAGCTTTTTCCTTTTTTTAGGAATAACATCAAATACTTTTATATTGGTAACCAATAAGGAACCTAAATCCGAATAAATCATGATTTTAGAAATCGTGATTTTCAAACAATTTGGAAATCTGAATAAATCTCCAAGAAAAATCATGATTTGTATATATCATGATTTTAGAAATCTGTTCAAATTTTTTTTGCACGAATCTGAATCATAATTCATTCAGCCTATTATTACATTATTAAATTGTTTGAAACCGCATGATAAGATTTGTATATATCATATTTCTAAAATCATGATTTGTATATATCATCTTTTCACTAATTAGACTTTTTTCTTCATTATCGATTTGAAAAGAAAAATAATTTTTATATACCTTATCGGTTTTGATAATACAATGTTATAATCATTATCATTCTTTATTTTAAAAGATAGTGTTTGTCATTTATTTGATTTCAAAAGATGAAAAAATTTCATAGGTTATGTCTCTTTTTATTTATGCATTTACACAAATTAATTTAAAAATATTAATAACGATTGACAACAAAATTTGTTATATATTGATTTAAACCAACTAATTAATAAAAGAGTCCATCAATCACGAAATTAAAAAATAACACACGATCACTACATTTCAAAGATTAAGTTTTTTAGATAAACATTCATTTATATTGTCATGACGATAAACAAGAGTGAGTGTCAATCTTAAAAATTTGATGATTTCAACTGCTATATTTCCAATGGTTTTTTTGCCGTAGGAATTTTCGTTGATATATGCAAATTCCGTTGGAATGTTTATTTCCACCCCATTGAAAAATCCACTGTTGGAATCGTCAAAATCTAACGAAAATTTCAATGGAAAATTCATTCCAACAGAATAATTTTGTTGGAATTTTCGTTGATTCATTGAAAACTTCCAATGGAAATAATAGTATTGAAATATCCGTTGGAATTGTCGTTGGAATAATTTCTTTTGGAATAGATTTCAATTGGAATTTTATCATTTTATTGTAGTGTGTCCAATAATCAAACTAATAATGTTGTTTACAATTAGGTTTTTAATAACATATATTTTTTCATATCCGAACATTTTATGAGCATTTTCCGCCCAAAAAATTAATTACATACTATAGATGAAAATAATATAATACGATCTAAATAAAAAATAAATTATTAATTGCATAATTTTCATATAACTTTATTTTCGGTGTGTTGTTGTTTTAGTAAATTATTGGTTTTCTTTAATTACGTTGATAGTGGTTTTGTAGGCAAAGGCAAAGATTGCGTAAATAATTATATGTAGCCGATTTTGTAACTCTTATTTATCAGGGATTCTTTTTTATTTTAACGGATTTATTAGAATCATTGATTTAGATTAACATATATGTTACATACACAAAATATATATATATAGTAATATTTAAAGCTACATGGCGTCAATTTTGTAATTCTCATTTGTTAGGATTCTTTTTTATTTTATCATATTTATTAGAACCAACAATTACAAAATATAA